GGGGGGGGGGAGAAGATTAAAAGGGGCAATCAAAAAACGAGATAACGAACAGCCAGCGGACTGAAGCACCAAGAACGGCAGTTCCATTACAGAAAAACTAACACCGAGTGTGGACGTTAATTAGCAGTCATGCAAAGATATAGATGCAGTAGATTATCATTGCAGCCAAGCGGAGCCAGGAACCCAGAACCAGACCGTGGGAATATGTACATGAATTGGGAAGATCCAGCGTAGTCTGTTACTAGCCTAAATTATAGCCTACTTGTTGTTGTGGTACAGTGAGAATGTAACACCCACATATTAGAATACTTAAATGTAAACAAAGCGGGACCTCTGATTTCAATGTCCACCTCCAAAGGGATTGAACAAAGAGAAAGGAGGGCAAAGAAAAGCCTTCATTTGAACCACAGCTCTGCATAATTCCCACTGAGCTAATTATGAACCTCCATGAATGCAGAACAGATAGAGCAAAATATGCTCCACCCCTTCCCGATCCCTACCCCCCCCCCCAATAAAAAATAGAACACCAGCCCTAAAAAAAATAACAGCAACAACAACAACAAAAACCCAACCACAACAAAGCCCCCAACCATCTCAGCTAATCATCTGGTCAACGCGCTGCACCTATGAAAAGTACTTTTGCTTTGAAAGGGAAGAGAAGCAATCAGGGAAAGGCAAATAAATGTTTCTACTCACGTGTATGATATCCTCCAGGCTGGCGATATACGTGCGTTCAGACTCTATGATCTCCGTGACCACCCGCTGGACATAACTGACGTAGACAGGACTGCCCCTTGACCCCGGGTCAGCACCGGGGTGGGTGTCTCTCTTTTTGGATGACCTTGAGAACACGGATCGCTGAGAGGTCATTCCTGAAGAGTTGGGGTCGTAGCGAGATGACCTTTTGTCCCTGAAGTGTTTGTCTGACGACCGTTTCTCGGAACTCGGGGAGAAGGGTGGAATATGGTTTTGCTGCTGTTGCGTCGCCTCTGAGGCTGAAGACGGCGTTGACGTTGTTGCTGGAGGTGAAGACGGGGATGATGATGGCGATGACGACTGTTTTTTCGTTGCTGCAGCCGATGCTGCTGTCTTTTGTGATGACAAAAGACTGGGCTCAGACCCCGACGCTTCACATCGTGTTTCGGGGGAGTCTTCGTGAGCCGAAGACGTCAAGGATTCGGATTCAGCGAGGGGTGCCTGTACGTAACCTGTCCGATTTTGGTTCAAATGCTCTTCGTAGTTCGAGAAGAACCTCTTCCGAGCTTCCTGTCTGGTTGAGCTCAAAGTTCGTCTCCCGTTGTCCGGGCTACCTATGACGTCATATCCGCTTGGGCTGTCCGGGGCTGGGGACGTTGGCGACGGGCTGGCGAGGTAAGAAGCTTTATCTCCCAACAAGCGAGGGTCTTCGGGTTTGGGGATCGAAATGCTCCCGGACAGAGGCGATGAGATCCTGCGAGGCCGCGTTAATCGAGGGCTAAGAGGGCTATCCGGTAGGGAGCCCAAGTTTTCATTTGTTGCTTTGTCTTGGGAATATTTTCTGTAAGGACTCGGTGAAGGAGTTTGTTGAAGGACATGGGGAGTGGGGTGAGACGAGTTGCCGAGGAGTTTGCTACGACTTTGCTGTTGTTTGGAAGACATCGTGGTATCTACAGAGGTAAGGGAAACATCTTTACCGGACCAGAGACTGGAGTCCACCTCGTCCCTCGTGCTGCCAGTTTCTGAGGACGTGATGCTCATGTTGTCGAAAAATCTTTCCCCGCTTCTGTCACCGTCTACACAGCCGCTGTCCACACTGTTCCTCGACTCAGAGCCAAGCCCAGATCCATCGGCATTGCCTCCGGATCCACCGGCGCTGCTAGAGAAACCACTGGCCTCTTCTGCCTCCTCATCGGGGATTCCTGTGTCTCTTGAATCGTTCGTAGCGGACTTCATCATGTTCGCCCTTTTCTTCCTCAGCCGAGGCAGAGACGACGAGGAGGCGGAAGACATAGAACTAATACTAAGCGGACGCTTCTTTTGGTCGTTGTGATCCTGGTTTTGTTTTGGAGCCGAAGGATCTGTGTCCATCATCGACACCGGTCTGTCTGACGGCTCGCTCAAGGACGGCAGTTTTCCGCTTCGCAGAGGGATTTTGCCGTCTGTTCTGGGAGGCAGTGACTGGGTTTTCCCGACACAGGTGTTCTGATGATGGTGCAAGGGAGGTGAGCTGCTTTTGTTGGCACTGACGTCATCGAGAAGACACTCATTGCCGTTGTCGTCACGAGTGCCCGAGGCCACAATATCGTCGTAGATGTTCAGAAGGGAGGGGGCTAGTTCCAGGGAGGATCCTGTGAAAGAGGGAAAAAGAATATTCTGTTAGCTTTAAATGGTTATTTCACACTGTAAAACTAGCGAAGAGGGCGTTTCATTTTCTTTTGACTATGTAAAGTCATTACGTGCAGAAAGTGGGAGACAAATGAGATGCAACGAGATCAGAAGGTACTCGCTCCAAAATGTCCGCAGAGAGATTTCGTTACTGCAGCAAACATATCACAAGGAGGCAGAAGGAAAAGAACAACTCAAATAGCAGCGTCAACAACATTATCAACAGCAGCAACAACATCACCTCCCCAGCCCCTCGAAAAACAATTAAATAAATACAATTCAGCAATGGATAGTTTTGCTGACAGTTATTATTGGCAAACACATAATGATGGGTTTTATTTTTACGCACTATGAAATATGGTCATAGCTCTGGGTCCCTTCCGAGTGAAGACTCGCCCATGCAGCGTCACACAAACTTCCGTCAGTTCGGGAAACAACTAATGCATACGACTTCAATCTCATCTAAAACATACAAAAATGGCACAGTCCGCAGTGGGCGCTTATACATAACACAAATCTGTAATGTTAGTCCTCTATACACATATCAGTCTGCAGCGGGCGATACGCATCGGGCGATGTTCACCAAGCGAATGCCAGCAGGCGTATTATAATGGAGCTGCTTCACCGAAAGGAAGATCTAGATCTAGGCCTATAGAAAATTGCGAAGTCCTTGTCCTTGCCTCAGTAAGTTGCAAGGGCAATTTTCACGAAATTCCGAGTTCATGAACATAACACGTTAGATAAACGATTTTGTTGCCTACGTCACAAAATTGTCCACAGCGAAGTCGGAAAAACAAAGTGATTACAATGTCGGTCAAACTGGCAGCTGCTGTGTGGCGTGTACGATCCGTCCGTGACGTCGGTACAGGATGATACGTGAACGCAAGTTTTGCTGGTCCTGCATGTTGGGGGATTTTGGAGACGCAAATAACAGCTAGATTCACCTCTACTTGTCGCACTGTTGATTCTAAAGTATTTGGCGTTCATGTCATATCTGTTATTTTCATTGCTGTTGTTGACGATGTTTTTGTTATTCCTTCTTGTGTTGTTTGTGAGTGTTTAAGATCGTGGCTAAAAAAATAGAGAGTTTCCCACTCCTGACCTACTGTCTTCCCTGCCTTGACGCATACAAATAAAAATTTAACAACTCTTCAGTTACATAGCTCTTTTCCAAAACGATGGACTTACAACTCCACCTCTCCTACAACAGTGAGTTAAACGTTTCCCTCTGACGCCCTTCCGCTACCACAAAGGCCAGCGTAATGCCACTGGCTCGTTGACCTACATTACAAAATGACTGGTCTTGCCAGAAGCGAGGGCGAGCGAGACAAACATTTAGTAGCCTACACATAGTTAAAATAGTGGTCCCTGTTGCGAGTTACCACAAGAGCAGAATGTTTTGGCGAGGTTAGTTTGAATGAAAAAAAGCATACCGACACTATGATGCCCATTTAGTGCATTAGTGCAGGCAAAGGCAAGACAGGCAAAAAGATAAAAGAAGGACAGAAAAGAAAGATCGCGCCATTGAGCCTTATTATATCCACCAGCGTGCAGGTGAAAACAGGCACCTCAGATATAATAATAATGTTTCTTAGTCAAAGCATTTTATGAGCTTATACCTTATCAATTAATATTTTTTTCAAGCACTTCTGAAGTATAAGTGTTTTAGCCATCACAACTTAGCATACGAAATTGGAAGAGAAAAGGAGAGAGAGAGAGCACGAGATAGACAAAGAAAGAGAAGAGAGAAGAGAGAGATACAGAGGGATAGAGAGAGGGAGAGGAGAGAGAATTCCCCCCCGCATAATGCCATATAAGAAAAACAAATTAT